CCGCTCCGATGATAATGGGAAAATCTCTTAAGAAAGTGGAAGAAGCCTTCTGTTATATGGCAGAATCGTTTTGCACAGCGAACAAGTGGGATCATTCTGTGCAACAGCAGTTTTGTCGAGTTGGGGTGGGCTGTGTGGGGGGGCACAGAGGGGAGAGCAGTTCTACGTGGATGTAAGAGTGATAGAAGTACTACAGGTCTGTTGGCTTTAGTGGTTTTGTCTCAGATTTAATGTAGTTAGATGAGAACGACATCTGGTCTTGGTTCATGAGGGAATTTTCTTGGCGTGGGCTCAATGCAGTGTAAGTCCCTGATAAATCACCCGAAGCAATGACTGTAGCCTTTCTGGCAATTCAGCTTCAATGAGGTTGTTGTATGACGAGGTGTATGCAAGCTGTCAGCACAAATGAATCAATTCTGTGCAAACGGGATACTACTGAGCCTGTGAGCTCCAGAGGTATCGCCAGCATGGAAACACTACAGCCCAAGGCAATGTGAGTGCTGAGATGACACAGCCCAGTCATCTTCCTAGAGAACGTTGTGACATTGAAAAGCCTGGGGAGCTGAAAGAAGCTTCAGCAGACCAAAGCTTTAGGATTTGCCGTGTCCATATGGCATCACCTTTTCCTGGGAAAAACTTCTTTCTGTTTCTTTTGACATGTCTACAGTTCTGTCGTTATGCCTCATTTGCACTGGTACATTCTGGGAAATCTAGTCAATAATTCCTTATGTCTGCTCTGAGAGCAGAGCACAGCATGACTTGTGGAGTCACCAGAGTTATTTCTGTGGTTGTTCTGCACTCTGAGATGGCTTTATAATGACCTGAGATGTCACCAATCCCTGAATTTCAGACTCAGATGTATCTAACAGCGGATGAATTTCACCACTAACTGAAAAGGAGACTTCATCCATTTGCATGAAGCCTCTTGTACGATTTTAGAACTAGTCAGATCTGAAACGCAGAGTTGGTGCATTGCATGGAAAAGGAATAAGCCTCAGGCAAATCCAATCCGGAAGGGAAAGCTTGGCTGAGTAACTGCAGGGTAAATCCAACAGATTTGCCACAACTTTAGCGAGCTGCTATTGCACGAATTACAGTGAATAAGGGAGTGCTCCAGTGAGCATGGCAACTGAAGTCAGCATATTTGCAGAGCAGTTTGGCTCTGAAAACCGTGGAGGACCTGGTTTGCTTCTGAGCATCCCCTGAGTCTCTTTCTCAGGGCTGCCAGAAAAAAACCCTCGTCACTGATTTGCATCACAGAGGTGTAAAGCAGGGCACAGCAAAACTCACCTGCTGGTTCTTCAGGAGGATGGGAAAGGCTTTAAGGAAGGAGGATCCCCTAATAAAGGATTGCTCAGAAGTTGTGCAGTTTGTGTCCCAGGCGCAGCAGGCTGCTCACAGCCTGTGTGAGGGGCAGGTCTGGAGCTGTTTGCTTGGGACTCCAGATGCCACTGTCTGTAGGTCTGTAGCACCATTGGGATGAGCTGCACCTCAGTGCATCCCATCAGGCGCCAGGGAGGAAAGGAGCTGTCTTGAAATGAGCTGCACTCATAGTGGTAGAGGAAGAGGAGTGTATTTTTAGAGACTGCTGCAACGCCTTGCTGTCAGAGCAGCAGTGCTAGCTGGCAAGTCAATCCAAACAGCAAATGCATCATCCTCTGTTTCATGTGAATATACAGTGATAATGAGCAGGAGGGAACATCTTTCCCCATCTCCCCACAGAGCAGGGAACACGGGAGAGACAGGAACAGAGGGGTTCATGTCAAAGCACTTCAGCACACTTTGTCCTCAGTGTTTTAGCCAGCCGCTGCATGCAGTTTTATATTTATGAACCTGTACCAAGGGATTGTTGATAGGTCTTTAATTTCCTTTGTTTTTTGCTCTGAACAGGCCTCTCTGGGGGCAGTAGGAGCATTTTCAGAGTTACTGAGCATCATCTCTGTGCAAACCAAAGAGAGGAAAAGCACTCTGATCACAACCATAGGGAGGGGGGCAGTCGGTTTTCTGCCTGCCAATACTTTTTTATTCTTTTTTTTTTGTGTGTGTGTGTGTGTGTGCATGTTGTGAGTTTCAAGGTCAGCTGGCTCCACAGATACAAATATGCCAAGAACAAAATGTGCCAATGTGCCAGGAGTCAGGGACACAGAACAGCTCTGCAGACAGAGCTGGAGCATGTCCAGCATCATCAGGCCATGGGCACACAGGAGTGTTGGTAAAGAAAGGCACTTCACTGCAGGGATATCAAGATTTATCTTTTCTCTCCATTGTAACATTAAATGTGAGTTATTTGCATTCGTGTGTGCGTGTGGAAAAGCCTGCATTCTGCACAGTGTCTTCATTTCATTTGGAAAAACAGAAGGGTTTCATTCGTGTACTACAGAACCCTACAGCAGTATCTGAGCACGTAATTGACATTGTGGTTCCCTGAATAACTGACTGGAGCAGAAATCAGAATATTGGTTCTTTTCTCCATTGTGCTGCTGATTTATTGTGTAGATAGAAAAAGACCTTTCATTGTAGCTATTGCAAGTTCCCATACACGCTCTCATTTTCCTCCCATATATGTTTCCTTTTGTCAGTTATTTGCTTGAACTACATAACAACCAGTCAGGCAAAAGCTGGAAATATCTTTGTCGAGCAGTCTTTGGCAGATTTAAAATATTAATGCATTTTATAGAGTAGTTATTTTTTATAACTGTCAGTTGTTGCTACCAAGGCAGGGAATTCCTTATAAATATTGAATGCTGCTGCAAGGTCTGGGGAAAAAAAAAAAGTTCTGGAAATGTTTCTCTTAAGCTCCAAAATGACTGAAAAACTGCTGAAAAATCTTCCTGATGTTTGCAAATGAGGTGTAAATCCAGGAGATCAGGAGTTAGCTGATACTAATGGAATTTTCTAATAAACACTCACAGCTTTTGAGTGTAATAGATCCTTGCAGACTGCTTCCTGGATATGGACACGTTAGGATTGAACAAATGGTTTTGTTCTTAAAGGCTCTCTCGTAGTCGTTGTAGCAAGGCATGTCTCAGTAATTGCCTTGAGCTTCTGTTGTAAGGGAACAAACTGGGAGGAGCTCAGAGCCCAGCAGCTCCAGCTCTGCTCTGCCTCATCACCTGAATGCATCTGGGGTGCAAGGAGAGGGCAGCTCTGGGAGATGCCATCTGCACAGTACCCATTTGGTGGCTAAAAAGAGGCCTTTTGTCCCCAGGGCTGCTGGGCTGCTGGTTTTTTTGTGGTGCCAGGTGTGCACACGTGAGATTAAACAGTAATAAAATGGCTTCACTGGAGTCAGTGAGGGTCACCATTCCTGCGGCCAGAGTGGGGATGAAAAGAATCCAGAAGTGAACTCAGGTGACGACATCTGGAACCTGCTGGAAGAAATGCCGAGTTGCTTTTAACTCCTAAGAGTGCCTTACAAATGGCATTAAAGTATTCCAGCTAAATAAACTGGAATGATATTCACTGCCTAGAATTTATCTTCAGAATATTATCTTTGCACCTGAGATTTTGCCTTCTCCTGAGTAACCATGAGATATGCTGGCAGTGGTTTATTTGGAGATCTGCCTGATCTTCAGTCAGTGCAAACTGGAAGGTGTCTGTTGAAATAATGAAAACAGTGCAGAGATTTAGAGTGTAAGAATAAGGAAACAGTGCTGCACTGATCTGAGATGCTCAGGGCATCGTTGTTTCATAGGAAGTAGCACTCCTGGGTGACAGGTGTATCCCCCTTGTTGGGGCTCCTAGCTGTGCCATAAAGCAAAATTTAGCCTATTACAGTCCCATGCAAAAACATTTGTGGACTTCCCTGCAATCCCTGGTAGATTCCTTGCAGTTAAATGGAGGAGCTGCCAGCAGTGCATTGCAACTGCTGCAGTTTCTCATTTGTTTCTGAGCTCGCAGGCAGCGTGCAGCCAGGAGCCCTGGGGTGGTGATTTGTTCACAGCAGGGATGTGCCGTGAGTGTGCCAGTGCACACACACCCCCAAGCAGAGCCCCTCACCGGAGCTTTCTGGCCCTGCAGCTTCACAGGCCCGAGTGAGAAGTCTTGTCTCTGGGTGCCCTTCAGCCTTAGGTTCTGCTGCACCTGCATAATAAGGGCTTAATTACTGTTAATTGTAATGGAACTGGCCTAACACACTTGCGGGTAATCCAGAAGTTAAAAGACATCAAGTGCGTGTTGGCTGGTGTGGATCACGTTCTGCAGGAGCCCCAGACAGCTGTAGGAAGCGCTGTCTCCTTCCCCAGGTTAGCATTAGCTCTCATTATCATATCAAAGGAAAAGGCAAGCAGACTCCTCCGCACACGCTTAACTGAGGTGCAGGAATTCGGGTTTATTGCTGGTTTTTTCTTCCCGTTCTTTCCTACTTCCCAAATTTCACTTTGAGTTTGGGGTTTGAATGAGCCCAGGAGCACAACAGACCTCGAGGCAGAGGGGTGATGGTCACTGAATTTGGATCTGCTTGAAAGTTCTGCTCCGGTTCAGCTGAGAGCAACGGGGAAGAGTGGAGGTGGATGAGATGATTTTAGAGATGATCTTCCAGCATTGGCTCTTACGACTCTGTTTCCTCCTGGTGGGATGGTGGGCTGATGGTTGACAAACAGGAGGAGACTGCCTTGTTCCAGAGATCAAACTGCACAGCAAATTGAAATGTTCTCTGGAGTTGCTGAGCCCTCTCCTTTCAGCACACGCAAAACCATTGAGAGCCACCACTCAATTCAGGGCAAAATACAGATTCTGTCACTGCTGCTCAGACTTAAATCTGCCCCTTTGGGTAATAAATGCCATGGGCTGGTCTGTGCCCACTGTGGTGGATGGCTCATTTATGTGCAATGAAACCTTAAGGAAATGGAGCTTAATCCAACACAAATCCAAACTAAGGTTTGCTTTATGACAGCTTTCTATATACATAGTGGCCTCAGGGAGCTATTTTGTTACACCTAAACGAGAGTAAAGTTTGCTCTTCCAATCCTGTTCTGTTTTCAATTCCAGGAACTGAGCATTCTGCTCTGCCATGATTTCATCTCAGTCAGTGGCCCTATGGGCCCTGGGAGCAGTGAAGCACAGCTGCTGGAGCTGGAGATCACCCCCAGCAAAACCAGAATGTTGCACCAAAGTGAAATCTGTGTCCACGCGCTCCAGGTAATCCATCCCATTCTATTGCAAGGCTCTGATTTAGATGCGATCTGGTACTGCTGTCTTTTGCAGTTAGAGAGGAGAGAGCATGGCTATTTAGACTTGGACCACTGTATCCTAAGCGATGATTTCTGAGGTGATTTTCATCCCAAAAAGTGGGAGAAGTTTGCCTCCTTGACTCAGAAGCATTCCCTCTGCATTTCCCTGTTTCCATGCTGGTCTGAGAATAATCCCAAGCTGTACTACCAACACATGTGAAATCTGTCCTGCAGCAATCTGATACCCAGAATAATTCATTATGTTCCAAGCTCGTGAGGCTCTTAGCAGCTTTTAAACCACATTAGCAAGGGCACGTTGATGCCAGTGAGTCACAAAGTGTAGTTTTCAGATCTGCCTGATCTTCAGTCAGTGCAAACTGGAAGATGTTGAAATAGGGCAAACAGTGCAGCGATTTAGAGTGTAAGAATAAGGAAAGAAAAATCAAGTAACAAAACTCCACCAAGATGCACACACAAGGACCATGCAGAAGGTAAACAGTGCTTGCTAGGAGGCTCCTGGTGGACCTCTGAAGTACATCAAGCACCGCTGCTCTGTCTTTGCTGTGCTTATTAATGCCCCTGGTGCATCACACCCTGGAACAGCAGCAGCCTCACAGCACGCCCTGCTCTGCCATCTGAGCACAGCACGGTGTGATTGCAAAGAGAAGCACCAGGATGATGCAGCTGCTCATGAGCTGATGCCTCAAGAGAGGAGAGGTCTCATTTCCAGCTGAATAATGCAGGTGGAGTGTTGGGAAATACAGCTTTCTGCAAACTCACACACCAGAGGGAGCTGGGAGAATCCACTTTAAACCCTTCCTCTATTTGCAGAGAAATCAGTGACAGGACGAGGTGCCAGCAGATGGCAGTGCCTGTTAGCAGTTTCACTCGTGGCAAGAGAAGTAGGATTTTACTCAAAATGCAAAAGTTTTTATTTGCATTGCCTGGAACTGTGCTAATTCCAACATGTGGGTGAGGCAGTGGTGCAGCTCAAGGTGGAAAATTATCACCATATAATGAGCACTCTGGACGACCCCTCCTCTGGGTGGGTAGGTGAGCTGCATTGGATAAGTATGGGGAGATGTGACAAGAAAGGCTTCTCCTGATGTTGCCCAAATCATATCAGCTCTGTTCCTCTATGGCTGCTGGCAGAACTGTCCTTTGCAGCACCAAGATTCATTCTATACCTTATTAAAAGAGGTGAAATAAGCAGAGTTAGTGCTCCTGTGAAGCATGTCTTTATTGCTGTAGGGAAGCAGTATGAAGCAACTCTTGAAAGGGAACGTTGTAATTCTCATGGGGACTGACTCCCATGCTCTGTGAGTTAATGTTTGGCTGGTTTAGCTGTTTATTTTAAAAAAATAATCACCAACAGCCACAATTGTTCACCTCAAGCCAAAGTTTTATGAAGATCCTTCATGTATCATAGGCATAGTCCTGAAAGGCAAAATACGTACCAATGGGAGAACAAAGAGTGTTCCTAATGATTGTGAGCAGGCAGAAGATCTAACGCAGGGAGACTTCATCCCTGTACAGTAGGATCAAAATAGAAATTTATTTCATAGATGATATGTAACTTTGAAGACACTGAGTATTGTGTCACAGCAGAAAATGGAAACAAATGCTGTCAGTTTCCAGTGCTACTGACACATCCCTGTGTCATGATGTGATTTTGACGAGCTCTCTTTTCTGGCCCAGAAAATCTTCTGAGGAAGCATTTCTGATGGGCTGCAATGCACGTGGCTCCTGAAAGAGGGAATTAGGGAGGAGTGGAGGATGAGAAGTAAGGAACAGAGCAACAAAGCCTGAAGGCAACCTGCACTCAGGAGGCAGATCTTACATACGCTGCTGGCCTGACATTTGCTTTTCAGAAGGGGAAATATTTATGAAGCTAGGGAGAAAGTGTGGTATTATCAATGATAAAAAGGACAGAAAAAAGCACGTGTGCTCCCTGCTAAATGTGCAGCTTCTGCATCCTTCCTGTTCTGTTTTACAGCAATCACTGAATCTCAGGACTTGGAAGGGACCTCTGGGGATCATCCAGCCCAGTCGCTGCTAAAGCAGGTTCCCTGCAGCAGCTTGCACGGGACCACCTTCTGCCTGTGTGATTTAAAACAACGGGTTTTCTTCTTTTCCCCACCCACTGGAAAAGGGGAAGAAAAGAAAACTCGCTCAGTAATGCAGGAAAAAAGAAGCCGGGCATTGAGAGAGCGGAGAAGCAGGCGGCTGGGTGGAAAAGTAAGCCCAGCGCTCGGGGAATTGGCGAGGAGGGCGACGAGCACGCGGTGATGGGCAGCGCAGCGCCTCGCCTTTTCTCAGGCACCGAATCCGCCCCTTCCCCCCTGTGCAAGGCAGCACTAAACCCCTCCCTCCGCGTCCCCTCCCGCCGCCTCTCCCTTCCCCTTTCCAGCTCGTTGCAAGGGATGCTGCTCCTCTCCCTGCCCCGGGGGAGCTGCGTGCCGCCAGGACGTCATTCCGGCCGGGAGGAGGAGCGGGGCGGGCTGGCGAGGAGCTCCCCGTGTCAGCCCGACAGTGAGAGAGCCCGGCGCCCAGCGACGGGGGTGTGTGATTGTAGCCGTACGGTGCCACATAAATGTTTTGCGATGCCGGGCCGAGGGAGGGAAGGAGGAGACGGCTCCGGGGTCGGAATATCCCCGCAGCTTGCTGGTGATGGCATGGATCGGCCGCTCCTCCGGCAGCTGCGCTCCACGCCTCTCGGTGCGGTCACCGCCCGGCATCCCCCAAGTGCCGCGGCACGAGACTGATGCAGAGCTGCTCTCAGCAAGTAAGTTGCCTCGTTGTGTTTGCTTCGTCGGCTTCCTTGCTTTCCTCTCTGGCTGCTGACAATCAGTAGTCCAGGAGGCAGGAGGAGAAGGAGCTGAGCGTGAAGTCTCTGTGCCCAGCCCTGCCGGGTCACAGCTGGAGACGTGCTGCTGTTTTACTTGTTGGCTGCTGGGAGACAGTGGGAAGCCGGGGATTAGATGTGGATTTTGTGCAAAGGCACTGTCAGATGTAGCAGAGGTGTTATGTAGGAAAAGGCATCATAAATGATGGAGTGCCCCAAAACCAGATTAGTGGAAGTCGCTGGAATACAGCAGGTTGGAGCAGACCGGTCGTTGAACAACACTGAGATGCGTGGAGTGACTGTAATCCTAACCTGGAGTTAAGGATTAAATTCTTTTAGAATTAGGACACTTAGTAGCCAGATTGAGTTCAAAGAACCCTTACAGCGTAATACTCAGACAATGAATTGGCATGATCAGCCCTAAAGGGAGGCAGACCATTTAATGCATTGGGAATCTCGAGAGGTGTTAATTGCCCCGTGAACTAAAACCCTGACTCGTTATGTACTGACACTGAGCAAATAGTGCCCAGGAGCCCGTGCTGTTGCGTTAATTCATGCTGCTGGGAGTAACATGCTAACTTTTATACAACATCTCTCCCATTTGTTTTTGACCTGAGAGTTTCAGAAGCCAATCAAGAATTGCCAGAAGTTGTCCCTGTTTCCAGAAGCTTGAAGCTACAAGGCTTTCTGAGGTTTGGTAATCAAGCAGGTCATCAGTGCACTCCTTTCCTTTGGAGAAACTGCCTTATAGTTACAGATGGGTGGTGTGGAGGGAAACAAAGCTGGCTCCTCTCAGCAGTTCTCTGAGCAGTCCAAGCAAACATCATCTGTGGGAATTGTGTTGGGGGAGTTGCTTTGTTTTTGGGGTCCAATTCTTTCCCCTATTGTTCCTCATCAGGTGGAGATAAGGAATCCTGATCATTTTTGGTTTCCATCAGAGAAAGTTGTCCACCTCTGGAAAGTTCCAGCCTTGTTAGTTACAGGCTCTGAAACAGGCAAACAGACTTTCAGATTCATGTTCTGAGACGTATCTGAGGACCTTTATGAGTCACTCACTTCCTATTCACATGGAGGTTGGGAGAAACACTTGGTGCTTGGGATGATGCTGGCACTTAACCAGCCGTTCGGTCTGAGGTAGATCACTTTGTCCCTCAGTGACTCATTTTCTCTTGTCTGCAGTTCAGAGGCACTGTTAGACCTCTTCGGGTGGAAGGAGCTGGTATTTGGCCAGTTCATCTTGTAGCTGTTTGGCTGCAGGTTGCTGTAGGGGCGTGAGGTGGTGTTAGCATCCTTCAGTTTTGTTTCCTTTTTAAGCCAGCTGCAGGATTGCACAGTAAATGTCAGTTGTAATAACGGTGCAATGTATGAACAATAGAGAACAGGAATGTTGGTGCTTTTGGAGCAGTATTTTCTCATAGAATTGAGGCTCTACATACCCCAGTACACACACAGTGTGCCATGGGTAGACAGCCAGGAACAGCAGTGTCTCATCAGAACAGGACTGTCTGTTCAATTGTGTTTGTCGAAAGGTAACAATCACTTTTGCAATGACACCTTAAGGTCTCCCTAAAAATCGTCTGGGGTGAAAGGACAGAGAGGCTGCAGAGTGCCTCAGGCACAGCAGCTCCCTTGGAGATGCAGAGATCAAATTGGTTTGTTTTCTGCATTTATTTGTTGATAAAGAATGTACTGTTTGGCTATTCAAAATGGGTTCAGAACACCCAACAGCATAATATTATGAATCCATCCTTTGCACACAGACTTTTCGTGCTCAACTTGTATAACTCCAAGAGGTATAATTGACTGCTGACACCCTCCCCTCCTCCCTCTGTGTTACACTGGGGAGTGGGCAGCCCTGGTGCTGTGGGAACTCCCTGTTCTGTAGCAAATTGCTGCAGCCTCCACACTGCTGTCATTACGACCTGTCCTGGAAGCCTCAAAAACAACACAGCCTTCATTTTCATTACAGTTTCAGTTTTTCCATCCTTTTCTGCATTGGTCTGAAGCTGATATACTGTGTGGGATTTGTTTATACATATTGAGAGGAAATATCTGTTTGAAAACTGTAGCAAATCCGGAGAAAGAAAAGGTGTTTTCTTTTTCTGGAACTCACTCTTCCAGTTTTGAAAAAGTTCACAGTAAAGACAGCAGCATTATTATTTTTTTTTTTTGCCATTAGGAATAACCAGACCAGGTTATCCATGCTAGTAGATAAGGCTCTGTAGGCTTTTCCAAGTAATCTCTGGATGCACCAAAACGCAGGAACTGCTGCTGCTCTGCTGGGAGGTGAGGTGACTTCAGGCACACGTTGGGGATTTGGGGATCTGTAGCTGCCATTCCTGCCACAGGTCTCCCATTGCAAGAAGCAAGCATCTCTGTTTTGCTTCCCCATCCTGATAAATGGCAACCAGAGCACTTCCTTATTGCGCAGATATTAAATAATAATCATAATAACAACAATAAAAATTAAGCACGTTACTTGTAATGAGCACTGAAACATTTGGATGCTCTGAGGGCACATCACTGCCTCACAAATGACAACAAAAGGGCTGAGGGATATTAGAACTGTGATTATTGCAGGGGAGAAAAATAAGCTGGGAGGTAATGAGCAGATGAAGATGAGACACAAATGCCCATAAGCTCAGTCTTTGTGCCATAGTAACTTCCAACCCAGAGAGATTTCCTTACGAGGGATTTTGTTTTGAAAGAATGAACACCTTCTGCAGCCGTATTTCTGAGCCTAATGAACCCCAGGCAGACAGGTCAGCATTGCAGCTGAGTGAGAACGCACCCCAAAAAGCTGTTATTGGGCTGAGGAGCATTGGGACCACACTCTTATTAGTGAAGTGTCACAGATCTCTCTTGTGCAGTTTCCTAAAGTGTCCTACCTTGGTTTTGGGTAGCATTCCTTCACCTCTAGATCCCCAAGCACTTTGTAAAGAGTCTTTATATCCTCTATTTATTCATCTATTTCTAAGGAAGATGGTATGAATTGCACAAGATACCATTGGTGATCTGTTCAGTGTGTACTGCTGTATTGGTTGCTTCTTTAGCAGTGCAGGGCTCTTCATCTTGGGAAGCAGGTGATAGAGCGAAGTAAAATCCTGGCTTGGGGAAATGGGAGGGTTGCTAAAGAACAGCTGCTCATTTATTCCCATGACATAAGGTGACACAGGCAATGGGTTTGAAGCAAAGAGTAGGAAGTGATTTTTTTACCCAGACTTAGAGACAAATTCCTATATCCAAACTCCTATTGCCTGCAAGGTTAGACCTCTCCAAAGGCAAATCCTATCCATGCTGAAACCTGCACTTACCCAAGTGAGATCAGCAATTATCTAAATGGAAAAAGTCACCATGGCCAGCAGGGGAAAAACCCCTTGCAGGCTTTGTTAGGTTTGCCTCCTGCAATGTCTTCAGCAAATTTTAATCACGAGCTCTTGGGACTATCAGGAGGTACATCAGCACTGTAGGATGGGCTTGTAGAGAGCTCTGCAGAACAATGCCTTGGGAAGATATGGACTAACTCCAGTGTGACCCTGCTTCTGCAGAGCCAAGAGCCCAAATGTCGCTGCCTGCCCCCAAGTCTGTCTGGCTAAAGCTGAGCAACAGCCAGTCTGATAAAAAGCCTCTTTGCAAGGTTGATAATGCAGTGACTCACATCTTCTTTTGCAGCTATCTGTCCAAAAGGAAAGCAGCTTTGTAAGAATGTGACATTTTTATTATCCTAGCCCCATTTAACCAAAGATGGTAAATGCCAGTGAAGCAGGATGGCGTGCGTGATGGTAAGAGTCAATTCCGTGTCACAGATCTCTTTGCTGGATGGAGGAATGGTTTACAAACTGAAGTCTAAATCTCTGTAAGATGCTTACACACAATTACCAGCACCTGGAAAAGATGTGTGTGCTTGATGGCAGTATATCATGCAGTAGAGAAGTAAACCAACTCCTTACATAGGGACAGTGGTCCTCTTTGGTGTCTTGCCATCCATCATAAAACTCCCCAGTGCAGTTGAACTAACAAGGGAATAATAGTGAATTTTCTATTAGATTTTTCTGCCTCGGATCTCACAGACTATATTTGTATCACAGATTTTGCAGTTTGGAAATTAAGGATAAGGGAGAGGCAGTGATTTGCTCAGAATTAGAGAATAAATACTGCAGGCATTTGTAGCAGAAAGCTGGATAGTCTTCAGGCCCCCAAACCTGTGCTCAGAGATTCATGTGCTTAATTATTTTCAGTAACCACATACTGAGTTCCCACTGCGATGGGAGAGCATTAAATCAAATATTAGCAGAAGCTGTAAGGCTGCTGCAGCTGTCAGTAAAGTTCATTTACAACAAGAATTTCGTTGCTTTAATGGAGCACTTGTGAGGTGCTCCTAAAGATTTCCAGACAGATTTCTCTTGACCTATTGCTAAAGATCAGTAGCATTAGAAAAGTGGCGTTGCCAGTCCCCAGAGTGTTTTAGTGTAAGCAAGTTTCCCTGCATTTTCATTAATGGGCAGTCCTTGTAGCTGGTTTCACCAGAGTGATATTTCTAGGGATTTAGTCCTTATGATTATTTTTATTCTACTCTGATCTTTTTAATATGTTTCCAGATCCTTTTGGTCTCTTGGGTACGAATCTGAAATATGGAACCTTACACTATAGATGAATGTCTTGAAATCAGTTGTTCTTTCCTTTGTAGTTTTAGTGTAAGTGAAATTCAGTTTTAATTTTAACTTCTGTAACATTTCTTAAAATAGCAAAATTCTTTTTAAGATTGGAAACCTGCAACATTTGCCTGCTTTCACACTTCTACACATATATAGATGGATCCAAATCTTGAATCCAAATGGAGTAATGGATTGATCAAACAATACAAGGAGCAAAAGTGATATTGCTGAGGAGGAAGCAAAGAGGCTGTCTGTATCAAATTCTTTTGAGATCAGTGATGGGATGCTTTCTCTTCTATTAAAAAGCAAAATGAAAGTTTCTGGTTGTTCTGACTTGTACTTGGCATAGGGCATTGCATGCTGTGAGGTGTCGGTGTGCACCCTTATGATCTCACAGCTCAAGCAGCCTCTCACACAGCATGTAAACAGATGTACACCAAAAGGCAGCAAAGAGCCACACCAATGTCTGTGGGGAGTTGAATTTGTAAAAACTGGTAGAAAATGACACGAGGAAATGTCTAAATCTGCTGCTAGCCAGCCCTGAGAGTCCTCTGCAGAGAAGGAATGTGAGGACAGAGGTAAGGATTAATATCCTGCCCAAATTCTTGGTGATGCTGTTAGAGATAGGGAGCAGCACAGTGCTGGGGTTACCTAACCGTGTCTATGATGTCAGGCAGTGGGCACAGCAAACTGATTCCCTAAGCTTCCCATCCCAGATACACGAATCCCTTCTGCTTCCCCTTCCTGTGACTGCACTGCCCCAGCCCTGGCTCAGACCCTTCCAAGCAGGCAGCTTTGCCAGCAGAAGGAAGCGCTGGGGCTGCTCTGCGGACAGATGGCTGGGCTCCCTGGTGGATGGAGCCAGCAGGGACGGTTCCAACAACAGGCTCTGGCTGTTTCAGTGAGGTAATGATTGATGGTGACTTGTAACAAGGGAGTAGAGCAGTTCTTTGCTGTTAACCAGACTTGGCTACAGCAGCACAGAAGTGGAGATTTGTTACTTCGTGTATTCATCCTGCCTCTGCTTCCTTCCTGCCCACCCTTTGTGCTTTTTAATTCTGAAAAGATGAAGCTACATTCCTCGTCCTTAAAATTATCTTTCCCAAGATACTCTTAATTGTATCTCTACACCTCTTCTTATTCACAGGCTCATAAGAAGATTAAAGATAGAGGGAGCAGTAATAGATTTAGTTGGATTTTAATAGGATTTGCTGAGGGCAATGCAGAGAATGAACATCATAGAGAATATTGCTACCCTATCTTTGATATTCCTAAGGCTTCTCAGGTAGTCTTTCACAGAGATTTTATCTGTGCCCTGCATTTAGAGTAGAGATTCTCATTTTTCTGTGGAGCATGTGTGGGTTTTTTTTTTTTTTAGAGGTATATTGAATCATCTGAGTAAACAGGATGCTACATGATAACCAGCAAAAAATCATTTCAGACATCATTTTGTATTGTTTGTATCTGATCAAGCACAGTTTTGCATGTAGACCGTGGGTTTTTAATAGCTGTTCCATTTCTGAAAGTGTCTGCTGTTTGTCTGGCATCAAATGAGGTAGAAGAGTTCTCATCTATTTGGTTACCAGTAGGCCTGGATCCATCAGACCCATGGACACACAGTTGAAGATGCTGAACTAAAAGCCTATTTCACCTCTGGAATTCAGGATCCCAGAATAATTTGTGGAAGGCAGTGAATATACCCAGAAGGTGAATCAGTACATCTGAAATCTGCATTATCCCTGGAGGTTCTTTACTCTGCTGACTGTAAGGGAAACCTTGATGAATAATTTAGACTTGTGTGAGATTTAGGTAGGCAGTAGTGCAGAGAATATCTGTGCATTTCTAAGGCTTCTCTTGGTACCCCAGACCTGAGGCACCAGGAAAATCCAATCCCTTTTGAGAGCATACATCCTTACAGCTGTACTTTGCTTCCGGTTGTGGTCTCTGAGAAGTTTTGGGTCTAAAACAAAGAAACAAGTGAGCACCATGTAAGAAAAGTAAAGGAAAACCAGAAAGTTTCATCAAGGAAAACATCACCCAGTCCATTCTCAGTTGCATGTTTCAGAGGTCCAGTGATGCAATAAGTGAAGTGGCAGGCAGCCTCACAGGGACTGTGTGCTATGGATCAGTTTTTAACACCCCGTTCAGCACAGTGCTGTATTTAGCAAGGGGATGCTGGCAGAGAAGCCCTTCAGAGTGCTGTGCAGAGCAGTACCAGGAGGGAAGGTGTGGCTCGAGCAAAAATCTTTCCCAGTGCAAAGTTAGCCTGTTATCCAGCCCTGTATCAGCATGCTTTGTCAAGGCAGTCTTAATGTTTGCACTGCCTGTGGTCCTGCTCTGTCTGTAGTGGTTCACACAGTACGATGATTTGGTGGTTGTCTCGATTCTCTCCCTCTGATCTTAAACTTCATTTCTTTATTCTCCCCCAGCCCAGCCATGGCCAGAGATTCTAGGATCTTCATGAACCAGGACATGGACATCGGAGTTGCATCCAGAGAGCCTAAGAAGATTCCCAAGCAGGCTCGGGATGACGTCCCCATCGCCACTGACAGAACCCGGCTCATAACAGCAGAAGGTAAGAAGCCACGGCAGCGATACATGGAGAAAAGTGGCAAGTGCAATGTGCACCATGGGAACGTCCAAGAAACCTACCGATACCTGAGCGACCTCTTCACTACTCTGGTGGACCTCAAATGGCGTTTTAATCTTCTTGTCTTCACTATGGTCTATACCATCACTTGGTTGTTTTTTGGGTTCATATGGTGGCTCATTGCCTATATCCGGGGAGACCTGGACCATCTTGAAGATGAAAACTGGATCCCTTGCGTTGAAAATCTCAGTGGATTTGTTTCTGCGTTTCTCTTTTCTATTGAAACTGAGACAACAATTGGGTATGGCTACAGGGTTATAACGGAGAAGTGCCCGGAGGGCATTGTGCTGCTCCTGATCCAGGCTATTCTGGGTTCCATAGTCAACGCGTTCATGGTGGGATGCATGTTTGTCAAGATCAGCCAACCAAAGAAGAGAGCTGAGACCCTCATGTTTTCTAACAATGCAGTGATTTCCATGAGGGATGAGAAGCTCTGTCTCATGTTCCGTGTTGGAGACCTCCGCAATTCCCACATTGTCGAGGCTTCCATCAGAGCCAAACTGATTAAGTCCAAACAGACCAAAGAGGGAGAGTTCATCCCCTTGAACCAAACAGATATCAATGTGGGATTTGACACTGGAGATGACAGATTGTTCCTGGTGTCACCTCTTATCATCTCACATGAAATCAATGAGAAAAGCCCCTTCTGGGAGATGTCCCGCACCCAGCTGGAGAAGGAAGAGTTTGAGATTGTGGTCATTCTGGAAGGGATGGTGGAAGCAACAGGTAAGCACTTGTCAAAGTCAGTCCCAGTTCTGAGGGAGAAAAGGGAGAAATTTCACTGAGATCATATTGGGGTTTATCATTGTCTTGTGACTCATTCGGGTTAGGGATCGTCGTCTGATTTGGACAGTGATTGAAAGAGAGGTCCTTTAGCTGACACTGCAGTATTTGGGGTCACACAAAGGAGCTAGATGAAGAGCTGTCCATAATCAATTAGAATAGATCCATGGGAAAAAAAAAGGAATGAACTGAACGAATCTTTGAGGTCTTGTGTGGCTCTGTTTTCTGTGATCAAAATTCATGCTACAAATGCTTTTCCATTTCTCCTCAGTATTAAAAATTGGCTGCAACTCTGTTATTTCAGATACTGCTGTGGTGTTGCTACTTAATGGAGGCTATGAAGGAAGTGCCCCAGTATTACAATATCCCATAAAACAGCGTGTGCTGAAACTGGATGACTTGCACATGATGCAGGACATGTATTTAAAAAGCAGCTCAGAGAGGAAAAATACCAGCTGTTTAACAGCATAAAACAATTCTGTGCAATAGGCAGATCAGGAGATATGCTCAAGTGATTCCCAGTTTCCTCCTATGGGTGTATCTGTGGTGGGCAATGAAAGAAATCTGCTTCCATTTAAAATGAATCTGGAAAAGCTGCGTGCCTCAGCCTTTCAAGGTGTGTAAAAGGGATATGGCAGCTTGCTTCTCACAGGGTGAGAGGATGGATATCTGCAAAGGCCCTCCGTGTCCTTCCCACTGCAGTGCATCCCTGTGGGGCACAGCTAATGGAGAAGATGCTTTTACTCTGGAGTCATACCTAAAAGACAAGGCATAAGGGATCATTTTCCCACTTGCAGCTAATTCATTTATTCTAGGCATTGAGAAAGAGCCAACAGGGAGCAAGTGATTTTAAGCAGCCTGAGATGCTGATGCTCCCTTCAGGCAGGCTTTCTCAGCCTGGGGTTGGCAGCGTGCCGTGGTCAGATCAGGGTCCTTAAGGGCAATGGGACTGCAGGCAGCAGGGAGGAGCAAATTGCTGTCTAGAGATGTGGGAGCCTAGAAAGACTCAAAGATACAGAAATGCTTTTATGAGTAATTTTGCCCTTTGGCATTTAAGGATTTTTGTTACAAGGCTGCTCTGAACCCAAGTATTTTTTCATCTTGTTGAAGCACAGGTTCTCTCTGAAACACTAATATGGAGTTTCTGTTTTCTCAATGGCATCAGCATCCTGTCCCACAGATTCTGCCCTTTGCTTACAATTGATATTATCCCTTCCTTGTGATTTGTCCCTGTTGGTCTCCAAACAGCTGAATGTAAGGAGGAATAATCTTTCAAAATCCTGCGTCCCAGAACCTCAGCCCCAAAGATAGCAATCTAGAGAACTCTGTGCCCTAATATCTCCCTATAGTCATTAGTGCATAGCAATAGGTGAGCATTTCTAACAGCTAATTGGTGGTTATGCAGACTGCACTGTGCTTAGGTTGGAGTTCTGTATTGTATGGGTGGAATTCATGTGGCATTGCTAGGCAAATATTCTTCGCCAGCAGAATTTTGTAGAGATGTGGCAAAAGAAGAGGGGGTGGAAAAGAATATTAAAGGGGAGGATTTGTAATGGGAGCTTATTTTGTAGCCTAAACAATTACCAGGTACTAGAATCACCTAATGTGAGCGTGGAATGCAGTTCCTTGCATGTCCAAAGCCTCTTTCCTCATCACACCGTGACAACATCCAATTCCGTTTCAACACTACTGCTCTGCTGTCCTCCTATGAGAGCTCAGTTCCTGCTGGATGTGTGTGAGGGGAAGTCATTATCAGCAACAACCTTAAAATTAAAAGCATGGCATAGGAATAATATTACTTTACAAATGGGCTCCTTTCCCAGAGGGATTGTGCAGGCCTGTGTGTAATGATATTAAGGAACAGACATCTGTGGAAATGATTTGTTATGGTCTCAAAGACACGTTGTGAAATTTCAAAACTGGGGCTAGGAGAGCCAGTTTGCACTGGGCTTAGAGCAGAGTGGGAGCAGACCTCAGCTGATGGTGTGATCTGATTCAGAGGCTGAAATGATTTTCTGAATGGCACATGGGTGATGTTTTGTCCCAGTGAAAGTGGCCTGTGGAAGTACAGTGTTTCTGGTTCCCTGCTTTGTCCTTACTCTTCATAATCTTGATTAAACCCATTCTGGAGGCTTTCATTGTGAATACCCTCCCTTCGTATCATAACTTTTGCTCCTAGAAAATTCTTTTGGTCCTTTCCCTCCTATTGCCCAAGCCTCATCTGCTTTCTGGAATGGTATAATTTACCTGCAGTGCCACTTCTATTAAATGATGGCACCACTACAACCTGTTCAGGTTTTGGACAGCAAGAAAACACAGCATGCTGCTTGTTCCCTTAATAACCCCCTATTGGGGGGGCTATTAGGCACATCCAGCTCTGCTCACAGTGCTCCAGAGCAGGCAGGTCCTGCGTGCAGCCTGGGGGAGCTCAGCTCTGCAGTTTGTTGGCAGGAGGGAAAACTAATGGAGACTCCCCCAGTCTGTAGAGAACAACAGCCATACCCTGCAATGGTGGGGGAAGATGGCTGTGTTCGGTGAGGAGTTTGGGAAGGGGGCCAGATCCGACTGTGCTGTGATTGTCAATGTGTAAATGACCAAAGGAATTCTGAGCATCATCTCTGAGTGAATAACATTCAGTGAATAATCGTTGAGGAGAGCAATTTCATTGCCACAGCCTGTAGTTTTAGATAGCCACATGTTGTCCAAGAAATGCTTTGTCCTGCTCTCAGACAAGTAACTCTTACTGGCATTAAATTCCCATTCCATGGAAGGCAAAGGCAGTAAATAGTTTCAAATAAAAAGTGATTGTTTGTTTGTTTGTTTACAAAGAGAAACATTGTTCAAAAGAATGCTTCTATTTTCCACTGGGCTTGGATTTTTCAATAGGGTAAAGAAACTGAGGGTCACCAGCACACAGGAAGCACATCAGCCTGCCTGAAATGCTGGGTTTTCCTTTGGCTGGTGAAGAAAACAAACATTTTATTAGTGAAGTGAGAGCTCTCCAGGGATCCACAGCCATTGCACTCCCACCCTGTGCAGAAAGCTGTTGCTCAGGGCCTTTCCAAGCACTATTTCAGTGTGGCTGTGGCACTGTGACTCCACAAGAGGTTAAGAGCACCAAAGGGAGGCTGTATTTCTGGGCAGATCTGTGGTGATCGTTGCTGAGTGAAATAACCACTGGAGGGACAAAATCAATATAGATGACAAGAGTTCTGACTTCACTGCTGCTTTGTGGGCATCCTGAAAGCAGCAGCTCTGCTCACAGTGCTCGCTTAATGAATTGGTCATAGAGATTACTTTAGGGAATTAATTCTCTCATGCCATATCTTAAAGAGACACTCGTCCAGCTGGCCCAAATTTGACCTGCAATAAAAGGAAAGAGAGCAAAGATAGAAAATCTGTTTGCCAAGTGAATACATTTTTGCTTTCACTGTCTTTCTGCTTCCCACAATGGCAAGAGAAAATCAGAAACATCCTAATGACAGAAGGGGGCCAGGCTGTTGTTGGCCACGTCTTGGCCTTGCCCTCCTGGTACTTCATATCAACCAGGGCTGCCAGGGTGTGCAAACATAGTGGGAATTCACAAACCTCTTCCATGTTGTCGCAGAGTCAGCTGGGTTGTGTGGTGAAGAAATGGCATAGGAATAGATTCCATTTAAAAAAGCAATGTCACCATCATTCTGATTGATGACATGGTCTGCATACCAGAGAAGACCTCTTCTCTTCCAGCTTCACCTTTCTGCTGCTATTTAGTGATAACTAACCAAGATTAAATGTACAAGTACCTGTCCTGTAAACCTAATTCTGAGTCTACAGTGTCCAGTGTTGCTCACATCTGGGCATAGAGACATTGGTGCATTGGTGTTTGTCACATCACCCTTCATCTTCACTGGTTTTTACTGCCCCTTCTCCCCACCTGCATTAAATACCACACAGTCGAAAGACCTGACTGAACAAAATTATAGTAAACACCTGGAAAGAAGAGGTAGATACATTTCTGACTGACAGTCTACATAAGTAAATATATATGTATATAAGTAATCAGCCATGTGCCAGGATTCTGCATCTCAGTTCCTCATCCTGTCCCTGTGGCAATGCGGCCCTTTTGCATCTCAAACCATCCATCTTTACAGAGGATACAGTTGAATGCTGTGGCTTTATATGTAGGAGAAAAAGAAGCAGTTGCGACATAATGCATTCTGAAATTAGTCATGATTTTCTTGGGAGAACAAAGGAAGGCTGAAATAATAAGTGGATTTCTCATGCGTTCAGCATCTGGTTTGGGTTCTCTTTTTGTTTTGTTTAGCATTTTGCATATAAATACATTTTCTCTTCTGCAAGAAAGACCTTGCAGAACTGTTACAGGCAGTGCCTATGTAATTAAAGGCAACAGATAGACACCTGCAGTCATTGCTCTCACCACCCACACTGTGTTCCATGGGCAGATGTGGGCACATCTCTTTTCTTAGATGTCCCTGCAGTCACTATGAATGCCTCTGTGAAGGGTCTGCAGCTATGGGTGTACCCAGGCCTCAGGATGTGCCAGGCAGAGGGAAGGCCATTGAACTCAAGGTTTTCAAATCACAATGCCCTTTTATTATTTTTTTTTTCCCCGATGCTTGGGAGCTTTTCCATGCCAGGAGAGCATTCAGAAATATTAAAATCCTATTACTCTCCTCTGACATAAAAATCAAAGTGAATCAATCGTGGACATGTCCTCTTCTCAAAGAGACAAGCATGGATAATCGGAGGGCCATGCTCCTACCTTCTAATATTCCTTTTGAAGTTGGAGGAAAACTGACTTATTGGAGGTTGCAGTGTTCCTCGGTCTAATTAATGCAAAGGGACTAATAACTTTTATAACTATCCAAACGCTGATGCTAATTCAAAGACATGAATTTCTTAAATGGAGTGATAGAAGTAAATTTTTTATAGCTACTGCTTGCCGTCAGTCTGCTGTTAAAGCTCTGAGCCCATCAGTTCTTTCTCTGTGCCATGGTAGTGCAGCTGGAGCTCAGCTGAAGCAGCAGTCTGCACTGTGCAGCCTCAGTGCACCTGGTACAAGGGGAGAAATCAGCGTGTGCACAACAGCACATGAAGTGGGGGCCAGAGAGGTGAAATCACCTCCAGCAGTGTCTGTGGCTAAACTGCAGAGAGAGCAGAGCCAATACAGCAAACATGCAGTCAGCATCCACATGACGCGCTGCCAGCAGATAATCACTGAGCCTCGTGGCATTTAAATGAGGAGAGTTAATTTTAGGCTGATGAAAAACGTTGTCTTGACAGCCCCAGGGGTTGGGATGGCTGTACCCGCTGAGGAAGTCCAGGCTGTGTAACAGTGCCAAACGATTCAGCTCTGCTGCTGATGCGATCCGATGGAAGCCTGCAGCCATTTCTTGGCTGGTGGGTCGTGCTTTGTGGTCCTCCTGCCCTCTCCTGTGAAACTGCCAATACTGGTATAGGCTGTGATGGTACATGTAGGGAAAAAACGACCTCTGAAGTTGCAGGGAGACGGCTGGCTCTTCTCTGGGCACCCAAACAGCCACACAGTGCAGTTAGATTTGGCCCACGATAATGAAGTTTGATTTTAACTGGTGACTTAAGGGTAAGTAAGGCTTGGAAATCTGGAGTGCTTCTCCTGCAGCTTTTCCCCTTTCCATAGCAGTGAGGCAGAGCCAGCAGCCGCTGCTCCACTTGCATAATCAGTGGTGTTGCAAGCAGTGAAACGTTCTGAAATCTGCAGCTCTCATTGAGTGCATTGCAGAAAATATAGGCTCCTCACTGAGAGAGCCATCAAATAACTGTTTTTTGTCAGCATGTATTTACATGCCTTTGTCTTTGATAAAATGTAAGGTGCTTGATCCCTATTGATTTTGATGACAGAAAAATGCCTTTTTGGTAGAGTTCCCTGACGCCAATTTTACACAGGAATCTTTCCTCAGTGACTCCATTCTCGAATGTAATGAAACACCTGGTTCAACACACACTGCAATATATTTCACATCTTTTCACTGACTGCAAAGCAGAAACAAACCCTTCTGAATGCATGCCTGGCTGCTGTGAACAGGAGCATGCACAGACCCCATTGGTGATCCTGGTCAGCAGAACCAAAGTCCACTCCTTAGGGTTCCACTGTAATGAAATGATCATTAACACTCTATGAAATGCTGAATGCAGAACTTGGAACCAGGAGGCCCTTCTCCGGTCTCCAGCTATGTGAAAGGACTGGAGCTGACTCCAGCTTTACTGAAATCTTGGTGCGTCTGCTTGTAACTTTGTGCTTCTAACTTTTATCTGGTTTCAGTTCAAATTCAGTTTTGTTTGCAGTTGGAAGCTGAGCTCTGAAATGAGGTGGGTGAGGGAGGTGAAGCTGGAATTTGAAAAGTGAAAATTTTGCACATTTACACAGATGGCAGGCAGTACAAATTCATAGTAGGAATACTTCCTCATTTTGAAACCAGTTTGTTTAGGAGAAAATTAAACTTCTAATGGTCCTGGAAAAATCAATATGCTTGGAAAGTAAAAATCTCTGTGATTTTTGTTTGGATGTAAGTTTTGAAGCACATCTGCTTATGCTGACAAAGGGAAAATGAAGATATTCTTTGGCATGAAACGAGTTTGAATGAAATGCCCCAGTCACCAAATATTGCTTCCTTCCTTCCTTATAACTATACTAAAGATCCACACCATTTAAACCTAAAGCATGTAATTATATCTATTTTAAGAAAAGCATTAGCAGCGTTATTCAAGACCAAGTATCGTACTAGGACTATTTTTGCAAGAAATCCAGGGTTTTTAGATCTCCCCCCGTTTATTGCATGCACTCTGCAGGGCAGCAGCACTTCAGACAGCTGCAGCAGGAGCTCACAGGGCAGGGCTGCTGCAATGGAACGGAATGGCAGCTGCCCACTTGGCGTGGTTCTTGATGGATGTGAGCATAGGATGTAATGATTTACTTCACCCATGGACTTGGACAGGCAAGGCTCGTGAAGTAGAACTGCTGGTTTTTGCAGAGAGTGCAGAGCAGTGCACGAAAGGTGTGAGCCTAGTGAATAAATCAGTCCCACTGCAAGACTGAATTGGACATCTACAGCACAGAAGGCAGAGTGCACGTTGTATGCAAATGGGAGAAGGCTGCATCCCTGTGCTGTTAATAAAAGCAAGGTTTATTGTTTCCACACCTCCTCTGTCATCTTTCTGCAGTTACAAAGGCAGTGATTAGCCGGGGACATTACAGCTGCATTAATTAACCAGGCTGAAGAGCACAGGGCAGCTTGCAAAGCAGGCACTTAATGGAATTTGAGGCAGAGACAATGCTGTTGTTTACTGGGTAATGTAGGAGTTGCCAAGCAGTATGTCCCCACGCAATTAAAATACCACTGCACATGGGCTAAAAAGGAATATTTGAATGGGATTATGGAGCAATTACAAGTTATCTTATTGTGCTGGCTCTGCGTACCCCTGGGGTTACAGAAAGCAGCTCCTGCAGGAAGCTGGCAGTGAGCAGTATTTGGTTGATGAAAGCTTTCTATTGTTCCTTCCTTAATTGAATATTTACAGCAGGAAATAACCATGATCGTGTCTCTGGAGTTCGGGTTCACTGTCAGGTTCTCCCCCAGTGGAGGAACTATTTCAGGCCGTGATTACAAGGCAGGGGTTCCCTTTGGATGCCTCAGACCCCTGCATTTAGCAAAGTCATTCTTTCTTGGCCTGGGTTCACAACGCCATGCCTGTAGGCAGCTCCTGGAAAGCCATGGTAGGAGTCAGCCTGTCTGCTCACAGCTCCTAGCCCTGTGAGTATCAGCGGCCTCTTCTGCATTCCTGGGCTTTGAAAGCACTGGGTAAGAGGCAAGTAAAGTCCTCAGCAGATCCTGCTTGTGCTCATGTCTTTATAGATTGCAGCAGCAAAACAAGAAACAAACTTCAGACTGTTCAGAGGTGGCTTTTTGAAAGGATAAGTTTTTTGATTACTCTGAGATTTCATCAGTCCATAGAGCTCACGTGGTGAGAACACATACGCTCTTTCCTGAAGCATCTGACACCATTATTTTCCCCCTGTGCGTTATTTCAGATTTGTTCGTGTACTTTGGGCTGCAGGAGGTAGGCTTGGAAGCATTGGCTGCAAACTAGATCAAGTGCATGTTTTGAATGTATTCCAGTCAGGGCCATCACTCACACTCCAAAGGAGAACAGTGGGAGGTCTTTGTGAGGTCAGCATTTCTACATTTCACCAGAATGAAGAGCAAAAGCATAACACGTTCAGGATGAGCAGATGACAAATGTTTGGAACAGAAGTCAGCCTTGGCTTCTCAATCAGCTGGTGATTCCAGAGGAGGTCACTCCAATGCTGAATCCTTATCTCTGCTCTGCAAAGCCTCTTTCAAAGTTTTCTAAGCACATAAACAAACTCCAATCCTTGGGGCTGAGAAGAAGCTGGACAAAATCAGTTTCATGCTGCCCATTGTTCATTCATTCCATTAAGAGACTCAATTCAATGTGCTTACAAGCTTGACTATATGATGCTGTGTGTTTTGATTCAGCCAACCTATTATAGTTGGATTGAACTCTCCAAAGGAATATGCAAACCAGTATGCCATGTGGGTCATATCAATGGGGCAGGGGGCTGTTCCTCCTTACAGACTGCATCACTTGGTGTGCAGGGGGAATAGCTGGGCTGTAGCTTGAGAGGGACAGCATGAGACAGAGTGGGAGTGCAGGTGACTTAGGCAGGGCAGCTGTTCATCCTCCTCGGGGGCTGTGTGGGTCAGGATTGAAGTGCACTGGTGGGGTTGTATGTCATTCTAGCACGTGATTCATCAGAAATACTGTTAGTAGCAGCCACACAAGGAAGCAGCACTTCGACAGAGAAATGTGAGGACAGAGAGAAGCTGCTTAGTGCTACCAGACTTCAAAGCCTTAAGTGCAGGTTTCAGGAAGCAGTCTGAAGATGCGGCGATGAGTCCACCCCTTTTCCTTTGAGAGCTCAGCTTTTTCATGATAGAGGCTTTTATGAGGCTTATTAAGCGAAGACTTTGTCTGTGTCCCAGAGCAATCAGGTATGGAAATAACATGAAAGTGCTTTTAAATGAAAGAAGTGGCTGGGTGAGCATGTAAGGAAGCTTTGCATTTAACATCCCTCTCTTTCCACCCAGGGATGACTTGCCAAGCTCGCAGCTCCTACATGGACACAGAGGTGCTGTGGGGACATCGCTTCACTCCTGTCCTCACCCTGGAGAAGGATTTTTACGAAGTTGATTACAACAGCTTCCACAGCACTTACGAAACCAACACTCCTGTGTGCTGTGCCAAAGAGCTGGCCCAGTCCCGCCGGGAAGGCCAACTCCTCAGCAGCATCTCCAGTGCCACTGTCCTGGGTGGAGGCAGAGAAGCAGAGACGGCGAAAGGGGAGGAAGAGGAAGAGGAAGAAGACAGGGAGCCAGCAGCATTCAGTGGAGCCAATGGGACAGCGGGAGAGGTGAAAGAAGATCTGCCTGTATAACACGTGAGCTGCTGGGCAGTCAAAACCCACACACACAGCAAGCGAGGAATTGACTGGGAGTCAGAGACCTGAGGTTTATATCCAGATCTCTTTCCTGCTGCTTGATCCTGGCGAGTCACTGCACAGCACCGTGCCTCAGTTTCCCTCCCCTTTTAACTGTACGGCGAGGTCCTGAGCTTTGCACTCATTTGCAAAGCATTTGGATCTCTGTGGACAAGGCTCACTAAATACAATCACGGTTAAAATTGAAATCCCCACCAGTAGTTGTTTCAAAAGATGTTCATTGGACATTCAAAACGTATTTCCCCTTGCAAGGGTATTTACAAAGGTAAAGATCTAGAAGCTCCCATCTCAGTATGAAGAATGTGTTTTCATGCCTTCACTTAACTTGTGAGTGTATGTGTTGTAGATATTGTTATTGCTTAATTAAAAGAAGACCAAAAAACCTCTCCTGTACATCGTGGAGTTTTTGTTTTGTGATTTTTGCAAATAGAGCTTAGTTGGTGTTCTGCTCCAAGACCGCAGAGATCGCTGTTCATTTCTTACAAAACAGGACAGCTTTCCCTGCAGATCTTAGCAGGTTTATCCAATGTTTTTGTCTATCAGACCAGTGTGTCATCTTTGTGCACTCTTCTTATGGAACTACTGATACACTTCACAGTCCATCCACAATGAGAACAGATAGGTGCTGCCCCAGTAAAGGTTTCTTTTCTGGCTGGGTGTCTCATTTCCAGTTGATTATTAAAAAAAGATATGTAGCTACCTGGGAACTTGAAATGAATTTCACCTAGAGTTCCTGGAGTAGGTAGACTGGGTAAGTAAATTTGCCAAACTCTCTTCCATAAAATGCATGCTTACAGTAAGGGTTTAGATGCTGATGTTCCTATAGCTAATGGGAACACGTGCTGACATAAGCAAAGCCATCTGGCCCCACTACTGCAAGCATGCTGGTTGGTGGCTGGCCCTGCAACGTTCTCCTTTCGTGAGGTAGAAGGTGCAAGAGTACAGAACAGGATTAACTAAAAAGATAAGATAATAGGGGGAAAAATAGGTAAAATTTCCTAGAATGGCTTGTCCTTTTTCTAAGATCCTCACTTCTCTACCTCTGCCTCTGCAAAGATTTTTTTTTATATTCCAGAATGTTTCAGTCTGTAGCTGAAGTGAACTCCTAATGTAGGAGAGAGTAATGGAAAGTAGAACTGTGACTGATCCGTGTGAGGCAGAGGCAATTTCAGCCCCTCAGAGGGAGGTTATATAAGCTCTAGCCGGCGAGCTAACTTGTCCAGTTCAATTCAGCATGAGAGAGGGCTGGCTGGGTCCCCTACGTGATGCCAGAGATAGACAGCTTGGAAAATGGCACTGGATTGCATCTGTACCTTACTTCTTCTACCTGTGTGATACCCTCCAGAGAGAAGCCAGCCATCTCCAAATTGCCAAAATGCTATTTCACCACTTCATTTCCCCTGAGATCTCATCACACAAAGCTGCTCTTTTCCAGTACTGTCGAGTCTGAGAAATTGTATATCCTACACCTTAGGAATTTTTGTCACTGAACATTATTAGTAGCAAAATAATTGCTGAATGTATAGTTGGGTGTGTGTGCGCATCCATTACAATGACTGAGAGTTAAATATTTCTCTCTTCTTGAGCAAAGCCCTTATGCAGCTGTGTGTCTCTTGGCTCCCGCAGACTCTTCCTGCATTTGAAGTTTGCACATAGGCCTAAGCACCTTGTCGAAGAGATGCTTCAGTGTCAGTGTGAGCATGCACCTTAGTATTCAGTACATACAAGGAACCATAATTTCCAGTTGCATAGCAGACAGTCAGGTATGTGGGGGTTGGGTCAGGCAGTCTGGTTGTTGCCTTCCCAAAGCATCTCAAGCCAGTCCATGTTCTCCTCCTGAGCTGCATCCCAAACAGAGGTTGACTTCATTGAGCATGTTGAGTTTTTTTGAAAGTAAGAGAAGTCTCTTCCTTCATGCAGTCATAAAGGTAAACTTCCTCTCTCCAGCAGGCAAACCTATGTGCTCAATTTTTTTATGTGCTTTTCCAGCACAATACAGCACAAAACAATGGAAGTCTCAGCAGCCAACACTGATTGAAGTAGTTTGATTTCAGGTACACGTTTCTTTCCTGCAATCATTAATGAATGTTTCTGAGCAAACAAAAAACTGTATTTCTTGGCAGGATAGATGGAAAACACCTTCCTAACACAGGAGAGTTGATGAGCTGTGAATGGAGACAGGGAAGGAGAGCTGCTCACAGTAAAGGCTTTGTTGTTCAGCTTGGTTTTGTTTGAGGGCTTGGGGCTGCAGTGGGAAGGAGACCTGCAAGCCCTCATCCTGCGCATCAGCTGCTCTCCCAGACCACATCATCCAACTGTTCTGCTTTTGTGCAATGTCACAGTGCTCTCACACAGCCCAGCTGACCTGGATGTCTCCATTCACTGCTTCCTCCTGCATGACTTTCCACATTTAAGTGCAGTAAGACTATTACTTTTTACTGAACTGTGTTTCTTAGATTGATGTGAGGATGCATGGACATTAGAAGTGCAAGTGTTGGCATTTGCTTTCTGGGCATAATCAACAGAAATGTTGAAATGTACCTTTATTTTTCATTTGAGCTTCCCTGTCTTTAATTTTCACTCATTGTGAGACCTGTCACTTGTTTTTATGCTCAGATTTACTCCTTTTATCGTTTTCTCTCATCCATTATTATGAATATATTTCCATCAGAAGTAGCGGATCTTGAAGCAGAGATAAGGGGAATGTTATTTATGCTCAAGTAATTAATATCTTGTCATAAGCTCTGCACACTGCCAGCCATATCTGCTGCAATACAGGAGGGCACGTTGCCAGAATGCGTTAAGCAGCAGTTTTGGGGATGATGGAGAGGACACTTAATGAGGTTACAGGGAAACTAGGCAAGCTCCGAGTCCATGCATGAAAGTGACAGCAGTTTCCATTTTGAGGCCAGCGACACAGAGATAAGTGCTGAAAGTCTGATTCTGATGCTCCCACTGGCACCAATCAGCCCAGGGATAACTGGTCACTTAGGTAGGTGCGAGGAGTGGGAAGCAGGAGCATCTATCTGGTGGCATTTTGCTATATGAAGAAGTCAAGGGCAAGTTCCAATCTCATTTATGCCAGGGAGATGGAAAGACACTCTGGTGGAGCCTGGTGATCCCTCTGTGATGCCAGCATACAACAGAGCAGTGCTCAGCTCTGAAGGACTATTGGCTGTGCTTTGGAGAGGAGGGCTGCACGTCCAGGTGTTACTGTGTGTAGGCAGATGCATACAGAGGTGGCTATTTTTGAACAGCACACGCTGTTGGAATTACTCTTGCTAAAAAGTAAAGCCCTGAGAAAGCATCAAACTCATGGTCCTGGTTGATGAAGATGCTGGGGTTCATATCACAAAAACCTGATATTCAAGTATATTCTTTCTAAATTCTACTTTGGTCCTCCAATCCTGTACGGATTTACAGCTCAGTTAACTAAATGCAGGTAAAGCCAAAGGTTACTAAAAAATACTATGAATCCGTGGTTCTATCCCATAGTGGAAGCAAATGCCTCCCCCTTACCTGTTACCCAAACACTCAGCAGTGCCTGCAAAGGAGCGTGTGCTGCTAGCTAAGCAGTTACACTGACTATTCCCATTGTTTGAAAGGGAAAGAAATGCACCATAGGAACTCCTAGAAATAGGAAAGCTCATCAGATGAAAAACCTCAGGAGAATTAGGATTTCAAGTGTAGCCATCCATATTCATGCAGATTTATCACTGAATGAGAAAAAAAAAAACTCGCAGGAATGGGAAAAGTAATGATGGTGAATGCTATTCAGTATTCCTACCCCCCATGTGTTGTTCTATCACGTGTCCATCATTTTCATGCCAAACAAATGAGCAGTACAATCACTACCGAATTCACGCCCCATCTGCCTCCCTCGCATTCTGTAGCAGAGCTCAGCTGTTTCTCTTCCTCCCAGAATAGAAAGAGAAGAAACAGATGCCAGGTGCAGGCAGAGAGAGCCACTGCCCAACCGACCCTTGAAGGAAGGCCAGGAGGGGTTTGTCTGGATGGGATGAGGCTTCTCTTTGCTGCCAGGCTGAGTAGAGACAGACTGCATGGCTGAAACAGCACTCAGATAAGGAGAAGGGAGTGGAACTGCAGCTCCAAAGACCCTTCAGTAACACAGATGAGAAGTTTTTATCACATTTATTCCATGATATCAGGTTTTACTGAATCATAGCTGCCTCTCTGCCTTGTGCTTCCCCTGCCTGTTTTTCCTGCCCATCTGTTTTCAGGCCCATCTGTGAAACCGTGAGCTGCAGTGTGCAGGACTGCTGCTGCTGTGTCTGCAGAGCAGCCAGCAGGGCTGAGTCCTGCAGTGATTCCTGCAGCACACATGATAGACCACCAGAATAATGAACTGAACAAATAACTGGTCCTTGCTGGTGTAAATGAACAGCTAGCCTTGAACAAACTGCTGTGCTTCATTATATACAATATCAAAGAATGCAGCATAATTGATGGCTAAGGCAATGGGCTGCGACCCAGAGAACTTGTGTTTTATCCCTGGCTTCCACTGACCTCCTGTACAAATCAGTGTGAGGCAGTGCTTACACGTGGTGCTTTGTTTGTCATATCTGTGTAGGCTGTGGTTCAGGAAGACCCATGAACATGTCCTGAATTTCAAGCTGCCTGATTTTCCAAACTAAGGCTCGATGGCTGCAATTTAACTGAAGCAGGAGCTACATCTTATTCTGTTGTGGGATTTGGGATACTGTCACAGGGCATCAAATAGCAACGGGTGGGTCATGCTCGTGATTTCAGTCTGATTGCTGTGGTCACTGATGGAGACAAGAACCAGGAAAAACTTCAGAGACACAACACTGGACGGCTCCCAAGCTGTGTCCCCACACTGCGCAGCTTCAGCTTGTGCCTTGTTTTGATGGTTGATGCAGGATGCGTGTCGTGTTGGGAGTAAGGGCAGTTCCTGTTCCTGGAATGGTAATCGTTTCATTTACATAAAACATATTCATTAAACTGCTTGAGCACTTGTACCCCTCGATGAGTTCTCTCCCTCACCACATCTTGGCTGCTTCCGGCTTGATTTATGGCCCTCCTGACCTTTTCATTACCCGGTCTCTCATGGATCCTGTCCTCTGTATGTTACCACATCAGTTTTTCTTGTCCTGTTTGACATTTAATTTTTAGTGACTGTAGTGTAGATGAAGTTGTTTTTCTTTGTTTTGCACACACTGTTCTGCTGCTCTCTAGGCTGTAGAAACTGTCGCTGTAGAAACACAAGGGGGAACTTACTGCCCTGAAATTTTGAGGTTTTTCAGCAGCAAACTGAACATTAAAGCTGGGGGTGAGTCTGATAGTGTCCCCTTGGGCTGCTGGGAATGACAAAGTGGGTACATGAAA